GACCCTGCCTCAAAAAAAAAAAAAAAAAAAAAAATTAAGACAAACACACACGTTAGCCTAGGCGCAGATAGGGTTCAGATAATCAGTTTTGTGGTCTTCTACTCTATGTCTTGTCCCACTGGAAGGTTTTTAGGAGCAATAACATACATGGAGTTGTCATCTTCTATGAGAACAGTGCCTTCTGGAATCCCTTTGAAGAACTTGCCTGAGGCTATTTTATAGTTAACTTCCTCTTAATAAGTAGAAAAAGTACACTCTAACGATTAAAAGTATAGTTAGCCAGGCACGGTGGCTCACGCCTGTAATCCCAGCACTTTGGGAGGCCTAGGCGGGCAGATCATGAGGTCAGAAGTTTGAGACCAGCCTGGCCAATATGGTGAAACCTGTCTCTACTAAAAAGTAGCCAGGCATGGTGGCACGTGCCTATAGTCCCAGCTGAGGCAGGAGAATCGCTGGAACTCAGGAGGAGGAGGTTGCAGTGAGCTGAGATCATGCCACTACACTCCAGCCTGGACGACAGAGTGAGACTCTGTCTCAAAAAAAAAAAAAAAGTATAGTCTTGCCAGGTGTGGTGACTCATGCCTGTAATCCCAGCACTTTGAGAGGCTGGGGTGGGTGGATCACCTGAGGTCAGGAGTTTGAGACTAGCCTGGCCAACATGGTGAAACCCTGACTAAAAAAAAAACAAAAAACCAAAAAGTGTAGTATTAGACTTTTAAACCAGTAACATAAACCAGTAGCATAGTTCTTTATTGTCTTTGTGAAGTATTACCTACTTACATAATTGTATGTGCTATACTTTTATATGACTGGCAGTGCAGTAGGTTTGTTTAGACCAGCATCACCACAGACACATGAGTAATGCACTGTACCATGAATTTGCAGGGGCCACAATTATATGATGGAAATTTCCCAGCTCCATTACATATATACACACACATATTTTGAGACAGGGTCTCGCTCTGTCGCTGAGGCTGGAGTGCAGTGGTGCAATGACAGTTCCCTGCAGCCTCAGACTCCTGGGCTAAAGCAATCCCCTGCCTCAGCCTCCTGAGTAGATAGGACTACTGGTATGCATCACCATGCCTGGCTAATATTTGTATTTTTTTGTGTAGAGACAGGGTTTTCTAATGTTGCTCAGGCTAATTTCAAACTCCTAGGCTAAAGTGATCTGCCTGCCTCTGCCTCCTAAAGTGCTGGGATTACATGGGTGATTTACCGCACCTGGCCTGCATTATAATCCATTTTTTTGAGACAGAGTTTCGCTCTTGTTGCCCAGGCTGGAATGCAATGAATGGCACAATAATCTTGGCTCACTGCAATCTCCGCTGCCCATGTTCAAGCGATTCCCCTGCCTCAGCCTCCTGAGTATCTGGGATTACAGGTGCCCACCACCACGCCCAGCTAATTTTTGTATTTTTAGTAGAGATGGGGTTTCACCATGTTGGTGAGGCTGGTCTCGAACTCCAGACCTCAGGTGATCCACCCACCTCGGCCTCCCAAAGTGTTGGGATTACAGGTGTGAGCCATCACAACCTGCCTATAATCTTAACTATCATAAATGTGGTCTGTTTTTGACTGCAGCATCCTTATGTGGTGATTTTAAAATGTGAAAGTTGAATCAATTATGCATTCATGTATTCAGCAACCACTTACTAACAAATAAGAGTCAGGTAATAAGTTCACCAGTAAAACAGGACTTCTCAAAAATTATATGAATGAAAAGAACAAATCGCAAGAAAGATACATATAAATGTGCCATTATTCTTTTTTTTTTTTTTTTTTTTTTTTTTTGAGACAGAGTTTCGCTCATGTTACCCAGGCTGGAGTGCAATGGCGCGATCTCGGCTCACCGCAACCTCCGCCTCCTGGGTTCAGGCAATTCTCCTGCCTCAGCCTCCTGAGTAGCTGGGATTACAGGCACGCGCCACCATGCCCAGCTAATTTTTTGTATTTTTAGTAGAGACGGGGTTTCACCATGTTGACCAGGATGGTCTCGATCTCTTGACCTCGTGATCCACCCGCCTCGGCCTCCCAAAGTGCTGGGATTACAGGCTTGAGCCACCGCGCCCGGCTAAATGTGCCATTATTCTAAATTCTTTTTTTTTTTTCTTCTTTTGAGACGGAGTTTCGCTCTTGTTACCCAGGCTGGAGTGCAATGGCGCGATCTTGGCTCACCGCAACCTCGGCCTCCTGGGCTCAAGCAATTATCCAGCCTTAGCCTCCCGCGTAGCTGGGACTACAGGCATGTGCTACCATTGCCCAGCTAATTTTTGTATTTTTAGTAGAGACCGGGTTTCACCATGTTGACCAGATGGTCTCCATCTCTTGACTTCGCGGTCCACCCGCCTTGGCCTCCCAAAGTGCTGGGATTATAGGCATGAGCCACCGTGCCTGGCCTCATTATTCTAAATTCTTAATGACTGGAGTGAAATTTTACTTGTGTCTTTAATGTTCCGTTTCGTTAAACTGTGGCAGATACAGTAAAAAAAAGTTAGTATTTGTTAAGTATGGGTGGGACACATTTGGGTGTCTGTTATACTTTTTTCTACACCTTTGTACATTTGAAGTACTTCATAATTAAACATTTAAAATTTTGTCTTTTATTTTTTTTTGAGAATAGGATATTGCCCTGTTGTTCTGGCTAGAGTGCATTGGCATTTTCTTGGCTCATTGCAACTTCTACCTCTCAAGCTCAAGCAATCCTCCCGAGTAGCTGGAACTACAGGTGCACGCTACCACGCCTGACTCATTTTTGCATTTTTTTTTTTTTTTGTAGAGATGGGCTTTAGCTTTGTTGCCCAGGCTGGTCTTGAACTCCTGGGCTCAAGCGATCTGCCTGTAATGTGCTGGGATTACAGGAATGAGCCACCGCACCTGGCCAACATTTAAAATTTTTAAATTAATGAAACAGGATAAGGATATGATAGGGAATGACGGGCTATTTCAGGTCGATTGGTGGGGGAGAGACTCTCTGGGCAGGTGACATATGCTGCGACATGAATAACAGGGAGGAGTCACTCATGCAAAAATGCAGGGAAAGAATACTCCAGGCAAACAGCTATTGCCGCAGTCCTGAGGCAGGAATAAGCCTGTTCAAGGTAAGGCCATTTTCATCTGGTGGGAAAACCACAGAACAGTTGTACTATGCTAGTTACCTCAGCAGCTGTGGAGGTGATTACCCCAGCATTACTGGAAAATTCGTCATTGCATGTCTGAATAGTTAAGTTGAAGGGAGTGCACCGTTTTTAGAGCTACCTATTGCTTCCACGGAGTTTCTCACTCAGGGCTTACCGACTGATGAGGTCCTATCAAACGGCTACAGAAGCTGGCTTGAAAGGTCTTAATGGCCAAGTCCAGACACTTTGAGTTTCAAAAAGCAACAAAGCAGCCGGTCGCGGTGGCTCAAGCCTGTAATCCCAGCACTTCGGGAGGCCGAGGCGGGTGGATCACGAGGTCAAGAGATTAAGACCTGGTCAACACGGTGAAACCCCGTCTCTACTAAAAATACAAAAAATTAGCTGGGCATGGTGGCACATGCCTGTAATCCCAGCTACTCAGGAGGCTGAGGCAGGAGAATTGCCTGAACCCAGGAGGCGGAGGTTGTGGTGAGCCAAGATCGCGCCATTGCACTCCAGCCTGGGTAACAAGAGC